AACCGCTGACCTGAACTGTTGGAGAAGCTACGCTAGGCGCCTGCGAACACTGTAGGATTGCCAATTCTAGTCGTTTCAACTCGAGACGCTCCTGTCTCTCGGCCTCCTCGCGACGTTCGCGCCTTTCAGCTTCTTCACGTTCGCGAGCTTCGCGCCTTTCAGCTTCTTCGCGAGCTTCGCGCCTTTCAGCTTCTTCACGAGCTTCTCGCCTTTCAGCCTCCTCACGTTCGCGAGCTTCTCGCCTTTCAGCCTCCTCACGTTCGCGAGCTTCTACTTCTCGCCTTTCAGCCTCCTCACGGCGTGCTTTAATATCCACCCAGGCCTCATCGACTTCCTCAGCCGACACTCCCTCATCCTTCATGATCGCAAGGATCGCTTGCTTTCGTTTCGCACGGCCCAAAGTAATGCCGAGTTCCTCACAAATTTCGATGAGTTCCTTCACTTTAAGGTTCTCCATCGTTCACACTAGCCTCTTGCTGTTTGCCCCTGTTAAGAGTCTACTTGCCGTACCCACTATAAGCCTACTAGCAAGATGCGCAAGCAATTTTTCACACTCCCGTGTTTACCCCCTCTGCATTAACTTTGGTTTCAAAGCACTTCGACTTGGCTTGAAACGATCAAAGCTCACTTCAATGCTTCACACAGCCCTTCTCTAAACTACTACAACCTGAGCTAGAGTATTCTGGTGAACTGAGGGGAAAACATCAGGCACTCACCGGATCGATGTCGCTGACGCCGGCCGATCCCGCAGCTGCCAACCACTGTTGCGAAAGACGGACCGATCCCGCCGAAGCCACCACATTTGCGAAAGACGGGGTAGCGTATGTTTCTCAGCTCGCGACTGCTTCTGCGCAGAGCTGATAAGACGAGCGGACGTGACGACGGTGAGTTAAACAAGGTTTATGTACAGCATATATACAGAGGCGTTACAATTTCGGCACTGGGGCCGACAGAGACTCGAAGAGCCGAGCTCTCCTCTCTAACACATAGGTCAACTTTTCGCCTAAGACCGCCGACTCACACACATGTCGGCTCTCCGACATGGGGACTCCTCTCTCATAGGACCGCCGATCGCGACGCGCCGCAGGGCTTCTTTTATTTGCACCGGGTCCAACCAAAATGTCCAATCAGAAGCGCCGCTGGTCGTCAGGGCAGATTCCTCCAATGGGGTCGCTGCTGGGCCACGTCAGACCCCCAGACACGAAGACGCCGGCTCGCTGTCACGTGCGCTGCTGACTCACTGCACGTGGGCCAGAGAGGCGCCGCGCGTGTTTACGCCGTTGAGTTGTTCGCGTCAGGCGGACTGCGGGCTGGCCTTGACCCAGATTGCCTTTTTCAGAGGCACGGACGTTTGACGAGGACTCGCTGGCATAACAATGTCTATATATTCTCGTAGCAGGCGTTTTTAATTAAGGGTCAGTAAACATTTCTCAATTTGCGCATAGCACCAAGAGATTATTATGGAATGTCTGATAATCTGATCAAAAGGTAAGAAGGGCTCACGTCTGGTGTCGTGCATTTATTACATGCTACATAGTGCTTTTTACCGCTGCTTCAATCATTTTTGTGGTGTTATAATTATCTGTCACTCATCCTAAAGACCCTTCGCCTCATTCATTTTCTCAAAATAAGTGAACGTAATGAGCGTCTTTGTATAAACGTCAAGTGCGACTCCATTTAAACTTCGCGCTCAAGTTCAGAAGGCAGTATCACTGACATTGCACTATCTACGTAAGCAAGAGCTTGATATCGCAAGTGGAAAGTGTGCAGTCGTGGCGCTCCCCAGAGAGCCGATATCCGCTTACGGTGTAATAATTAGTAGGCGACTGGTGTAGTGCACCCAGAGTCAAAGGTTCTTGGGAGTAAGGGCCAAACCTCATAAGCGCGAAAATGCACGCGACAGCGACGAGCGATGCGACGTAGATCGTCTTCGCGCGATCAGTCGCTTGCGCAGGCAAACCTCATTCCCGCGACGGCTTCGGCGAGTGAATTCAACTGTTGCTGGCATGAGGCCGCCTACTCTCACTAAAAAAACTGCGTAGTTAGTGGTATACAATTTAAAAATAAGATACATTGTTGTGTAATGGAAGAGAAAGTATTTATGAGTGCCTTGCAGCTCTTTTTAATATGCACATGCGTAAACATTGCGTTATTTCTTGTTGCGCATACGTGACTCGGGCGGGGTCACGTGCACCTATGTAGTCGTTGTCTTTTGCGGTTTTTCGCTAATGGCAGCTTGAGCCCAGGACTTCCGGGCAATGAGCGACGGATTTCAAATCTGGAGAAACGAGCAATCGCGTGAACGCCGTTTCGTCGCTCATAGCGTCGCTTGTCGCTGTCGCGTGCATTTTCGCGCTTATGAGGTTTGCTCTTCATGATCGACCGACACATGTCTTGGACATCCCCCCTCCCCCCGTCAAACGCGTTATAAAGCGGCTGACTGCTATTCGCACTGATTCAGGTTCTTGCAGGCAATACTGGGACAATGTCCTTGCAGTCTATGTTACAGCCGTACAGGATATTATTTGAGTTTCTGTGGTACAGCTTACCTGTAATATTTACTACGGACAAAACTAGCTTACGCACACCCCCAAACACTCAATCCCAGGCTTTAAGGATATGCATTCATTTACGAAAAAGTGCATCAAGGACTGAAATAATTACCATTGCACGGGCTACTCTATCATGGTGCACATCAGTGTTGGAAAAAAGTGTACTTCCCTCAGACAAAGTTATAGGAAGCCATCTCACTACTTGACAATCTCCACTGTTCAAAGACCCCGTACGACATTCAGTGCAATTGGCTGTTCGCATTCTGCATCATTTACTTCAGATTACACGCCTGTGGAGAGCGGCTGTATCCTCGACGGTGCCTGACCCTTCCACAAGTACGTCTTGCAATATCAAGGCTGCAGAAAAGATCAAAGTTGCCTTCGATAGCCTTTAAGCAATTTAGCATGCTTCTCTTGCACGACATTTATAGTGACCACGTGCATATCTACACAAATGGTTAGACCGCAGCGTCTTGGTCTGGTGGTTCGAGGAATACCAACTCGAAGGAATAACCAATGCGAATCGAGCTGTTACATATGACATCTGCGGTGGCAGAAAAAGCGGCTCTGTGCGGTGACCTAGGGCATATCGATTGCTATAGATCAAGCAACTGGACTCTGTTTTCTGATTCGAAACCAGCCTTATCGTTCATGCAGTCAGTTCTCCGACGAGGTTTCTACGAGCAGCTCACAAGAGATTTTCAAGCTTCATCATCATGTTACAGAAACACGCAATGAGGTAAACTTACAGTGATTACCGGGTTCTTGTGGGATCAGTGGCAATGCTTCCGCAGAAAACGCGACTCACACATCCCAGCAAAGAGAGCACACCCTTCTGATACACAAATCAACGACAGACACTGCAAAGTTGCTTCTTCGCCTGGCACGTAGTCTGTGTCTGCTGGAGTGGAATACCGTAAGCATAAGACATACAAGAATCCATCAAATAAGCTTTCAACTTGAACTCCAACCTTCATCCGGACTTGCTTTGCTTTTAATTGAAGCTTTGCTTTTTGTAGCTTTTGGTTGGGGGATTGCCTTCACAAAAGCATATACAACGCTCCTTGGAGTGACTGAAATTGTGGAATGCGACGTCTGCGGCACTGAACAAGACATCGGTCATCTGCTCTGCTATTGCTCTCGATTTGCCTCTAAGAGAGGAAAACTCCCTGACGCGTTGCGACATATAAACTATTGGCCACTCCGTGCAGATGCTTGTGGAGCACAGTCTATCCTTCATCGGCTCACAAGGCAATCAAATTCCTTTGTTCTTATTTAGCACTACGAGTCTAGACGATTGCCTTGGAATCTTGTATAATGCAACTACTGCCTTGATGTCAGCCCATGTGCTGACACATTTCTTGTTTTTTTTTTCTCCGTCTCTCTTATCTTTCTCTCTCTGTCTCATCTCTATACTTAGCTTTACCGTTCCCTCAGTTTAGGGTAGCCAACTTGGCATACGCCTTGGTAACCTACTTGTGTTCTCTTCTATTTACCCTCCTTCCATACTTGAAATATGTACTCCTGATCTTCACCCATACTTGGATGCCTCTATACACTTCAAAATTTTTGTTCGGTAGCTTCCCAGTAAACGACATGCGGAGCCAAAAACATGTGACCAATTGTTTTCCTAAATGATTCTCAGGTGTGTGTGACCTCCCTTGAAAACTGAAATGAGGACCACGGTTAGGTACACCGACCCAAACACAGGCAAAATAGTACCAACGCACTCACTCAGCACAGAACACCACACAAGGTTTGCAAATGACACGTATCATTTCAATTGGAGTCTCTGGACTGTATTCTATGTGTGTGCGTAAATAAAAATTGGAGAATGAATCGGTTTCTCCTATTTACTTCGTCCCTCTTTTGGGCTTTCAAACTTTACTCTTGTTTTATTCATTAGTAGATTGTATTAGAACTTTATTATCAGAAGAAAAGCAGTGGGAATTGTTATATGTTTAGGTTCATATTGCGGAATAACCTTACGCAGGCTATTTACCAGAAGCCCCTTGAACTCCTCAACTTATTCATCAACATTTGGTTTGTCAGTGACCTGTGACCAATCAATGGCTGACAAGTAATATTAGTAATGGAGATTTTACTTCTCACAGCCAGAATATGATTACCAGAGACGCCGCAAAGTTGACGGCTCTAGAACGTTTGACCATGTGATGTGCTTTAACGTACACTGACATCGTGCACTACACGGGCCTCTGCCATTTTGCATTCATAGAAATGCAACAGCCTCGGCCCTATCAAGCTCACAACCTCTCGATCAGCAACCGAGCACTGTAGCCACCGTTTCGCCGAGGCGGCGCTTTCAAAACAATGTGCTCAGGCGTAGTGTAAAACAGTATGTTTCATGCAGGTATGATATATAAAATGTGTGTGCTTTTTAAAGCTGCGGTGCCATTGGCGATTTTTATATACAGAGGTGAGGCTTACGTGTCCGTATGCTTGCTCTATGACTAGTGAAAACAGGATGGCTGTAAGAAAAAGCAAAAAGAAAAACATATATTTGGTAAGGTTTTACATTCGCCACTTCGTGCACGACCAAATTCCCACATTACTTATTAGAACAAATTTGACGATTTCGCCATCAAATGCTTGAACGTAAGTGAGCAACACTTCCGCCACATCAGTGGATCGTGGGGCGTAAAGTTATATATCTTAAAGTTATATATCGCAAAATTGTACACATAGCTAATGATAAAGTTACATAATAACACGTGCGGAAAACTGAGTATGTCATTGAAGAAAAGTTTTCAAGCGCATATTCACATCGCTTAGCAGCACGGTGAAAATACATGTGTATCCAAAACTTGATAAAAGTAAGATGGTTTTACTGCTGTCCAAAAGAATACCAGATATATATTTGTTAACAAGTAAAGCTAATAGAGCAGGTGCATCGACAGAAATATTTTTTTGGAGGGCGGGAAAAATCCTTTTTTGAGGAGGGGGCAATCCCTGGAAACGGTCGTTTTTCACTCGCTATTTCTTTGCGAAAAAAGTTTGAGCAAAAAGGACGGGGCACGGTCCCGCTGGGCAACCCTGCCTGCCACGATTTCACCGGTTTTATGGGTGATACTATGAAACCATGGCAATTTCTCTTAGTGCAATGTTAAAAGGATTGTTAACAAAGGCATCCTTCGGATCACATACAAAGATAAGGAGCTATTCCTCTTTGTGAAAACGGCTGAGCTGCACGAAAGAGAGGTGGCGAGAAAATTCCTACAGCAGTGGAACCTGTCTTACTGTGTTGATTGCCATTGGGTAGCATACGCATAGCGTGCCGTTGGTTCTGACGTCAACAGCTCTATTGACTGTTTTACATGCACTCGAAGCGGCACCGCAGTGGTTGTTGGGCCGCAAACTTTAACAAAGCTGAAAATATTGTGATGTGTGCAATTATCCATGCTGGCTCTTCATGCACTAGATCTCGTAGTGTGCTATCACCCCTTCCCTGTCTCAACCCAATCAATAAAAAAAAAACAAAGCCTTCATCGAAAGTGTTCTTTTTACACTTTAAATATTAAAAACCTGCTGCTGCACACTAATACTTACCGCAGGCCATGAGGCAAACAGTTTTTCGGAACTCCATAATGAAGGACCTTTCTAGCTTCGAATACTGCCTCACACTGCTATATATACTGCCCTGCACTCCGTGATGCAATCACCCGATACACAAAGCATAAAAAATATACAGACAAGTTTTGTTGGTATAACATCGATCAATGTCGTTTAGTTTGAGTTGTTTTCATCTAGCCCACGTATTTTTCTAAACAAGAAACACGCAGAAGCCTCCAACACTGCACAGAAGCCTCGCACCTCCAGGTGCGCACCATTCTCAAACAACCGCGAGAACAAATTTAACGCATGAACCAGCTCTCTTAGGGGTTTTGTTTAGTGTGTTTTTTATATTCTCGAGCAGCGCATTTGGAGCATCTGCTTCTTTACTGCAAGATTAGACGAGATTCGTAACGACTGTGTGGTTTATACGGATTCACGCCACTTTATCGGGAAACATGATGTGCTCCTGGTGAGGCGTGTAGAAGCTGACTCTTTACTGACAGCCCGCATTCCACCCTACACACAAGGGAAGGGTGGGTCTTAAGTTTGTGCGACGGGCGTGAGTGAAAAATGTACTGTTGTGAATGCATGTTGATTTGTTACCTTTAAAACTCGCAATATTTTCTAGCCGGTGGGAGCGTGCAGTAAGACATTCGCACATCTTCAATTTATGTTTATGTAATATGCTCTAGGCAAACGACATGAGAGGTCGATAGTTACCGCTGATTACAGAAATGGTTGAAGGTTACCTTTGGAAAGCTCGGAAGCTAACGCTTCTGCGTCAGCCCAGCTGGACATATTCATTCCACTTTCACTTCTGTACGGAACATTTCTCCCACATAAGCTGGCGCAATCAGTGCGATGCTAAGTTGCTCGTATGTTACCTATGTCGTTGTGATTTCGAGAAAAAATGTTTCACCGCTCTTTCTAGTGGTAAGAATAAGGCCATATTATACTGCATATATCACTGTGAAGTATAGTATGTACTTTATTAATGCTACACAGCGCATTTTTTAGCCGTACATGGGAAACGTAGGTTGAAGAAACTTGTGCATGTGAGATAAGATATTTTTACAGGGCCGTTGGTTGTTTTTCTATATTTAGTTGGCAACACTGTAGATGAACGCTGCAGTGGTTCTGCCATTGCTACAGGAACGACAGAGACAAGGCTCGTAGCTTCTGCCATGAACGCAGGAAGGCGTTCCACCAAGAAGGGGCGTCTCTTTCACTGTCCATTTTCACTAACTTTACCACAGCCGCTGAATAAAAGGTGATCGTATTCGGTCATTCCAGCCACTCAGGCGGTGCCTTGCAGCCGTGCTCCGAAGCTGTCACACGGTGATAATCTGCGATGCAGTTTGGTCTCTCAGTAGTCATAAAAGCGTCTTCACGCTCTGCGACGCTGATGTGCACGCTAACGATATCACCGTCTCGTCCACCATTTCGACCTACCGTTGCGGCGCCTATAGTCGTTGTAATGATCGAATAATCGTGCTGCCCCAAAACACTCACCGCGCTTCACAACACATTTCTGTTATCTGTTGCTATCGCACCCTAAGCAGTGGTCGGCAGATAAACGTGGGTTCGCACATGGAGCCGGCACGCTAACATGACACGAAAGGCAAAGCGTGCACTGAGTGGTCACAAAACCGAATGGTCACGTCGGTAGCAATGCGTCAACGACATAGTATTTTACAATATTGCATTGAAAACCTTCGTTGCGAGGAATCTCATCACATGCATTCGCATCAGTGCTCGTTAGTGGGACGAGGCAATAGTTCACTTCCCCGCCCACATATTGTCACACCACCACATCTACGATAAAAGATGTGAGAGACATAAGAAGCACTTGTAAAATGTCGTACGCTTACCATGCCCCGGAAACTCGGTCCTGTTTTCGGTTTTCAAGAACATGAACGCTTCTCGCAGTTGCCGGGCATTTCAAAATCCGGTTGAACAGAGTGAGGTTGATTTAAGTGCTCGCATTGATTGACTTTCACCCCGCCACAGCAATCTAGGGGCTAAAGTGGCAGGTCGCGGAATCGAATCCCGGCTACGGTGGCTGCTTTTTCGGTGGAGGCGGAAATGTTGTAGGCCCGTGTGATCGAATTTGGGTGCACGTTAAAGAGCTCTAGGTGGTTGAAATTTCTGAAGCCCTCCGCCTAGTCGTCTCTCATAATCGTATGGTGATTTTGGGACGTTAAACTCCACATATCAATCAGTCAGTCAGCATTTATTGGCTTTCGCAAGTTTTTTTACAAATAAAAAGATTGATATATCGGTAAAGATCTCCTCTCTTTTTGTTTTAAATGCGTTTTCTTATTTCGTAATTTAAATTTTGAATCAGGCGAAGCGCACGAAGTGATTCACTTGAAGTTAAAGCACTTGCTTCATCTTTTTCTCACCCCTCGCTCAGTGATATTAGAAGTTAGATCGCGACTACGGGGAAAATAAAGAGAGCAAGTAGTGGCGGGCAGAGATCAGAAGCCGAAGGAAGCTACGCCGAACAAGTAAACCACGCATTTGTCTATGATGACTTAATCAGGCAACACATGTTTTCCGCGGCTCTGAAGTGTGCTTACTCGGTTATGTCTAGTTCCGCGAAGGTTTCTCAGTGTTTCATATCGGCAACGCGCGAGCTCAAGAACTTGGACCCATTATTAGAAAAGCGATTGATTTTGCTTGGATACATGAGTAAACACAGTTCTCTGCAAGCCTGACTAGACTGACAGAATTGCGCTGTCGCTTGTTTAATTGGTGAAGACGGCAGCCAAGCTCGTGCCGGGAAAATGCGTTTATTGAAAGGCTTGATTTCTAGTTCGCTCAGCTACATACTTTAAACTTCTTTTACTTTTGGCGTTTAGTTCATTAGTATGTTGGGCTTAACGTCTCGAAACCACAATATATATATATATATATATATATATATATATATATATATGACACGCCGTAGCGGAGGGCTCCGAGAATTTCGACATCCATGGGTTCTTTACCGTGAAACCATATCTCAACACATGGGCCTACAGCATTTTCGCCTCCATTAAAAATGCGACCAGGCGTTTAGTTCAAGAGAGAGAGAGAGATAAATAGAGAAAAAGGCAGGGAGGTTAACCAAGCTTGGCTCTGTTGGCTACCCTACACGTAGAAAGGGGAAAGGGATAATGATAGAAAGGAAAGTGATAGAAATGCAGAGAAGGATGAATGGTCAGCTGGATACTACACAGCATGGTCTCACACTGTTTTTTCCCAATCGGTAATGAAGCCTGATGGTCCTTAAGACGTACAAGGGGCTATCGTGGCATTGCGCGTATGGGAAACCCCTGGCCAAGGTCCCAGAATCTTCTCTGCTGAAATCGGCCGTGAGTCCAGCTGACAGAGCTTGGATTCCATAATACGTCGTTCAGACTGGTATGCTGGGCAACAGCATAGATTGTGCTCAAGCGTTTCCTCGCAGGCGCAGATGTTGCATGCCGAATCGTTCGCCATTCCAAAGAGACGAAAGTACGCATTCGTAGATGCTGCGCCCAGCCCCATGCGACACAGTAAACATTTAGTGCATCGTCAGAGCCCGGATGGCAAACGAAGTTGCAAGTTTGGGTCGATTTATTACAGGCACGTGTTAGCGAATCCCGGCGTATTTCATTGTAGAGGAGTTATACGGTGAGCAAGTGATTGTAGTTGCCTTGCAGCGTCAGTTCTCAAGAGTGGGGTGGGCGTACACAGGTCTTGGTAATGAGTCGATCAAGCAGCTTCATCTGCGTGGTCATTGCCGTCAATTTCTCAATGGCTCAGGGACCACTGAAATACAATATCGTGACCTTCCTTCAGCGGTTTGTGGTAGTCTTGCCTTATCTGATATAGTGATTCTTTGTGTAAGCCATGCTGAATTGAAAACCGTAGTGTCTGTAAGGCTGACC